TCCTGAATCCTGAGACAATTGTAAATAGTCCCTAATTGAACTAAGAAATGTGGTTTTTAGAAACATTTGCTTAATTCTCAGAAATTCTTTCTTACGTTTTCAATTTCTCTATTCCAAGAAAGTCTTGCCATATGTATTAGTTTATTTTGAACTTTTTAGTCTAGTTAATCCAAGCAAACAAGCCAGCAAGCAAGCAGTCAATCAATTATAACAAAGTATGATTATAAAATATTAATTAGGCAATAATAATTTTTTCAAAGCTTCAAGGGTGTCATGAAGATCACTTTCTATTCATTTTGGGCCTCTCAGTGTTAATGTAATGTCCTTCAGGGTTTCCTATTAAAATTCTAAATTATTTATAAATACCTAATTATTAAATTAGAACTAATACATGTACCCAATTAAAAAATTAAATTGCACATATAAATATAAAATGAAATATAAATGTTTCTTTCCCCCATTTTCTCTGTCTCCCCACCCTAAATCTTAGGTTCTTTCTTCAGACTAACCACTGGTAATAGTTTCTTATGTATACTTCTAGAAAAAAATACTGTGCCTATTCAAGCATGTATGTATGTATGAGTATAATTATACATTATTTTCTGTTTTTAATTTATCCATATTTTATGCTTGTATTGTTTTGAACAAGGATATATTTGCATAGGAAATCTTTTTGTCTTATTCACCATTTTATATCTAACTCCTCTGATAATGTCTGGCTCATAGTATATACATAGTATATATAGATCTCTTTTATTTGTGGTATAAACCATATAGGTTTGCCATATGGTTGAACCACATTTTATTTATACCAATTCTCTATTGATGAACATTACATTAGTTCTAGTTTCCTGCTAATCATGTCCCTCGACCTGTCCATTTACCTGCCTGTGTGTCAAATGTTTGCTGAGTCCAGGTACTCTTCTAAGGATACAGAGATGGAGGAGAAAATTAAGGGCCCTGTTTACATATAAGTTGCTGAGCTATATCAAAAACAATGAAATAAAATCTAAACAAATCAGTTTCACAAAGGCAGTAGTGCAGATAATGTGATGAGAGAAGAGTTTCTACTTTAGATGGGATGGCCAGGCAAAACCTTTATGAAGAGATGAGTTTGAGCAAGGCCTGCATAATGAGAGAAATGGCTTAGAGATCTAGGAGAGAGAATTCTAGGCATAAAGTATAATAGCAAAGATAAAAGCTTTGAGGCAAGAATAAGCGTGGTGTGTTCAAAGAAAGGAAGGAAGACCAGGATGACTGGAGCATGAGTATTTGTTCTTACAAATAAAAACAGCTTCAGTGAATATGTATGTATATAAAAATATGTCCTACATATTTTGTAAATAATTTTAATAGTCGAACTGTGGGGGTGAAATAATTTAAATATATGCCTTTTAAATTTGTATAGCTGTGGTACAGGGCCACTGTTATCGCTTATCCTTTCTCCCTGAACTACTTCTTGCTTTTTGTGGCTCTGAGGAACTTCAGTTATCTGGAGCTTGGCAAGGAGTAGGCACACTGGCTAAAAGAGATTATTTTGGAGAGACAATGTATCAGGGGCTATAAATGTTTGAGTCTTTTTTATAATAAGATGAAAACTCCAATAGTAGGACATGTGTTTATATTATGTTGTGTTGTATGATAAAATATTTGGCTCTCTGAACTACCGTGCTTTCCTTTTTATGAAACTATTTTAATGCAGCAATGATCAACGTTTTTCAAGCCAGGAAATACAAAATTCAGAGTTTTTCTAAAATTACAGTTGAATAAAATGAAGTACTCTTAATGATCCCCAGTTTGATATTTAGATTCGGTTTACACAAATTTGTGATTAAGCTAAGGAAATATGAAAAATATGGCATAAACCAAAGTCAGCTGAAAACCTTTGCTAAAGTGTGTTTTTTGTGGAGGAAGGTAGGAAGAACATCTCCTATTTAAAATGTTTTTTAAAATCCTGAATACTGTTACATTGGGGAATGAAATCCCATTTTAAAATGCTTCTCTGTCAAAAAGACATTATTTAATTTTAAAGGGTAAATGTCAGAATTACAATTTTTTAGGCAGATTAGAAATTTCAGACTGGTCAAAGAACAAATTTTGTTTCATGAAGTGTTTTAATGCTGAGTAAATAGGAGAGTCAAGTCACATTTGAGAGCATAGGGATGTTTGTTTAAATTTTTTCAACCTACTTTTTTTAATGAGTGTATGTAGGAAACTTTATCAGCTATATTAAGATTTCTGTGTACCTAGAGAGACAGAAGGGTATGCAGTTTGCTTAATTATTTATTTTTCTTTTATGTGATAAGACTCACTTCCTTTTTTATATACAGAAAAACTTTAAGAATTAAAATAGCTTAGAAGAATAAGGTTAGGAATTTATTATGGAGAATATTTTAATTTAATAGCTGCTCATATATTTTCTGTTGGTTATAGTAGAGTTTTTTTCTTTTCAAACAGGTAATTTTTTCCAGCATAACTTATAAACGAACTTTAGTTGAAAATTGATTGTACTTTTCTTCTTGAACCTGGTATAGATTAGTGAGGATAAAGCAATGTTTATGTGTTTTGTCTGTAATGTAATAAGTTAGCATTTGGATTAAGAAACTCAATTTATTTAATTGTCTACTGTAAAATCATCTCACTAGTTTTAATGTGAATATATACTATTTGAAAACAAATTCTTGATATCAAATCTTTAAGATAAGGACAGAAATTAGTATTTTTTTAGTCTTAATCCTTTGTCCTAGAAAGGACAGAAGTATAAATATGTTGCATGTTTACAGAAATCTTCTACTCCTGTTATATGTAGATATGTTTTAATTGTTTGAATCATTAAAACGTCTAATTTTTGCTGAAGAATATGCAAATGTGCCACTAAATCTGTTTTTTAAGATTTTTCCAGTTTAATGTCTGAATCCAAATTCATAAAGAGTTGGAAAAATGAGATGTCTGAGCTATAGGATTCACAGGGATTTCATATGAAGCCTATTTAATCAGGATAACACTGTTATTAATATTCATAATGTCAGCTGGAACACAAATGACAGACTATGGGGCCTAAAATTTTTACTTGGTGAATTTATTAAAAGTAGCTTAAAAAATTAATGGAATTTAAGTAAAGTTGGTGAATATGAAAATCTTGTGTTAGCAGAAAAAAATCTCTATTAGAACTTTCCTTAAAGACCATTTTGCATTGATGTCTTTTGACAGATTTCATTGGTACTTAAAGAAGAAAGATGCATGAATGGTCATTTAAGAGGATTTAAACACATTGGCACATTAATTTTTACATGAATAATAAGCACTTTCCAAAAGCAATTAACTTACAGTGTACAAGATATGAATCGAAAAATAAGACTGTGACATCAAGGGCAAAGCAAATGTGCTGTACATTTTAAACTTTGTGACAGTACTTTTTAAATATTTTGATTTATTTTATTTTTATAGTTTTTGCCGGTTATGACTTAGAATGTGATTATTTTAATGCACTTAAAAGCAAATTTAAAAGACATTAATTTAATGCTTTCTCCTTCTCCAAAAATACTGGTGTAGTATTAAGCATTATCTTCTGCAAGGACCATTTGCATTTTTGAAGAAGTAAAGATTTATTGTGCTAATTGCAATATTTTATCAGAGAACATGTTCAAATCTACAGAAAGGCAATGGGATGATTCCATTTGGGTTTAAGGCTACTAATACATATTTTTAATCCAGTCTTATTGGTTGTAGCATAACTTAAGAGTACAATAAATAAGCTTCTGAAAATTTAGTGTGAAAAGTTAAGGACCACTTGAGTAATTAGTATACAAGTACATTTGTCCTGAATTATAGCCTAAGAAGGTAAAATATTGGGAATGGCCTAAAACAGGATGCATTTTTGTGTAGTACTTGTTACGCTTTACATTTTGAAATATGCTTATAATGACAGTTACACTAGTACTCAGGTTTTTGTTTTGATTATTGAAGCTTATTTTAAAAATAATTTTAGACCATTATTTAAAGTCACAGCAATATTGAATATTTTGTTTTAGATTCTCTATGCATATTTTACTATATATAAAAGCATAGTTTAGTTATTATCCATAACAGTTATGTTAGGCTTTGCCATTGAGAGAACAGAGGTGTTGACTGGCAGTCTTGCTGGGTACTAGAAGTTTCACTTGCAGTCTGTCACAAGCATTATTTGATTTCATTAAAAGTGTAGAAATTGCCAATATAAAATAGATGTATTTTGGGACTCAGAGCTTTATCGGACAAATCATTAATTATTCAGGTGTCCATAAATTATCATAAGTATTAATTTATATTTTTGGTATAAGTCATAGAATCAAATTGATATATTGGTTGTTTTGTCTAGAGGCTTTCTTAAAGTTAGGTTTTGTGTGATTTTTTTTTGTTTGGCTCTGAGCTATTCCCTTAAATGCCCAGGAGAGGGCACCATTTTACTACATCAGGCTTATAAACGAATTTGCCCTGCTTAGACTGTCAATGTTTCTTGTAATTACTCCCAGTATATTTGTTGCTTGCTTATGAATTAACTTGCATTTATGGAACTAAATCATTCCAATCATTTAATTACACCTGAGGAGCTGAACTATAATTGCTTGCTTCCAACTAGGATCTGATATGGCTTGAGCAGTATTAATTTGGTGTTTACTTTTCTGAGTGCTAAAAGCATTAAAATGATTGTGCAATGGGATTACATTTTACTAATTGCTGGCATTCATTAGCTGGGTAAATGATGAGGAATAGTGACTGTATATTGCAGAGGGATAAAATTATGGTTTTAAATAGTATATTACTAAGCACATTAAGGCCTGTAAGACATGTTTTAAAATACTCCAGAGGTTATTAAAGACTGTATTTTCTACATGTCTTGGTATATGAATCTCTTATTAAAATACTGCAATTATTATTAACCTTTTTGGGCAATATGTAGGGAAATGGCTTCATTGACTGGAACATATTTCTTTGATATTAATAACTTCCTATATTTTCAGCTAATCCAAAAGTAAATGAGAAACTTAGAAAAAGATTGCCAACTCCAAATCAACATATTTAGAGAAAATTGGAAAAGGAGAAGCTTACTACAGCTTTATTTGAGGACTTTTTAAAGAACGCAGGGTTCTATCTCTGAGGTAAATCTAATTTTATTCTCCTTAAAAGCATAAAAAAACTTGCATAATGTTTTATCATGTTTACTACGAAAACAAGAGAGAAGAATATCAGTAATTCCACAAGTTAGTGATGATTTTTATGTTTTTTAAAATTAGAGTAGTATTCTTAAATTACTTTTATAAGTAAAATTTATAAAAGTAATCTATACAAATATATGTATATACACATAGTAAATTCAAATCAGTAAATTTGAAATTTTTGATATAAAATTTATGGCAAATAAAATAAAAAATGTATTTTTCTTAAATGCTTAAAATTATAGTTGGAGAAGATTTCAGCTAAATAAATAAAATGGTTCTCTACCCAAATCAGCATGAATCTCTAAAAAGCTTAACCTGAACTGTATATGCTAAAATATAAGTGTTAAGAAAATAACCTTTTTCTGAGAAAAAGATTTAATTTCACCTAGTGAAATTCTCAGTTAATTGTCCCATTATAAATGTTTTAGAAAAGCATTTATCCTGTAAATTCCCTGTTAAACAAAGGTAAGGTTTAGGTGTGTTCTCATATATTGTTTTCAGTTTATTTATCTAGAGTTGGCTTTATTTTAGCAGCAAATCTTGGAGTAAAAACCAGAGACATTGCCAGAGCAAACAAGAAAGGAAGTACAAATGGAGGACTGGTCAAAAGGTAAGGACTTTTAAGGTATTAATACCAAGCCCCAGGTGTTGTCGTAGTTCAAGACACTGAATGAAGTGTGTTTGTTCTAACCAATATATTAGAGGCAGACCAATGCGTGCGCGTGCGCGTACATACACACACACACACACACACACACACACACACGAGACACACACACAGAGACCCAGGGATTATGAAAAAGATACAAAGAAAGACACACAGAGAAAGAGACATACACAGAGAGAAAGGGACACATACATGCACACAGAAAAGTAGACACATAGAAAAGACATTGAGAGAGGGAGAAGCAAACAGATTCATTGGGAAAGAGAAACATGTACATACAAAGAGACAGAGGAGACTGAGAGATTGGCTGTGATAGAGATGAACAGAGCCACATTCAGAGAAAGAAAGACACAGAGAAAGAGATACTCAGAGAAAGAGACGTAGGAAGGAAGATACTTGAAGAGGAAAACACATAGAGTCACAGACACACATAAAGTAAGGAAAGAGAGTAGAGAGAACGAAAGAGATACATAAATACATGGAGACAGAGGAGAAATACACAGATCAGAAGATAGATACACAGAAAAATAGACTAAGACACATATGTGAGACAGAGAAGAAAATATTCATAGATATACACATGTGGAGGGACACAGCCTGAGAGGCAAAGAACAGTTAGAGACAGATACAATTTGAAAGACAGCCTAAAGACAGAGGCAGAGTGAGAGATGGTCCATTGAAAAATGGATGGATGGATGGATGGATGGATGGATGGATGGATGGACGGACAGACAGATAAGAACAGCACACATGGGGGGGGACAAGAGAGATTTAAGTAAAATGTTGAAAATTTGGAATCCTTGAGAAAATATTCTTTCTGAATATGATACTACATATATTTGAAAGCTTAAAACTTTATGTACATCTTTTAAACATTTCTCTTATATTATAATTGAAAAAATAGGATTCTTACTAAAACACTGTATGCATCTCTTGGTTCCCCTTCTCCTAACAGCGCTCTTGTTCAGCATATTCTAACCACATTTTTATCCTTTTTAGAAGGATAAACATTATTAGGAGATAGTTCAGACTTGGTAGCTCATCCCTGTAATCCCAGCACTTTGGTAGACCGAGGCAGGCAGGTCACTTGAGGTCAGGAGTTCAAGACCAGCCTGACTAACATGGCAAAATCCTGTCTCTACTAAAAATACAAATATTAACTGGTGTGGTGGCTCACACCTGTAATCCCAGCTACTCAGAAGACTGAGGCAGGAGAATCACACTAGAATCCTGGTGGTGGAGGTTGTAGTGAGCTGAGATCATGCCATCGCACTCCAGCCTGGGCAACAGAGGGAGACTCTATCGCAAATAAATAAATAAATAAATAAACATTATTAGGAAATAAACATAAATATTTTAACTTTTGAGTCTTGTGATAACAGATATGTTTAAACAGTAAAATCTCACATCATCATCTCCCTGATGGCAGGGTTCATGGAATTTATCTTAAATTACAAATTGCTTCAAAGTTCTATCTTATATAAATGTTCCTAGTTTGTTCCATTGAACAGTTATTTTATTTAGTTTAATTTTACTAATTTTAAAAGAAATTAAGTTAATTAAAACTTGTATTACACAGATATGCCTTTATGTCATCTTACAGATTTTATTATAAAAAGTGCTGAAGTGGCCATTCTTTTCCTAGCTTTATTGTAGAAACACTGCTGAAATATTTTAAGTCAAAGAGTTGATAAGATTGATAATGTAACAGATATAACCATTTATGTTTTTGTTTGTCTTTGTCATTATAGACATTCTGGAAAGTGGAAAGCTGATGTTGGTAGATAGGGTGGGTGACGACATCTACAAAATGTACCCAAGTTTTTTTTTTTTTTCTTTTAAAGACAGAGTCTCACTCTGTCATTTTTTTTCTGGAATGCAGTGGTATGATCATGGCTCACTGTAACCTCAAATTCCTGTGCTCAAGCAATCCTCCTTCCTCAGCCTCCTGAGTAGCTTATACTACAGGCATGTGTCACTGCACCTAGCTAATTTTTTTTTTTAAACATTGTTTTGTAGAGTTGGGGGGGTCTCACTGTGTTGTCCAGGCTGGTCCCAAACTCTTGGCCTCCAGCAGTTCTCCTGCCTCAGGCTCCGAAAGCACTGGAATAACAGGCGAAAACAACTGCACCTAGCCCAGAAGTTTCTTTAAGTAGTTAAAAAACAACCCTGAATTGATGTAGTTTGTAAGTTGATAGAAACAATGTGTGTGTGAATAAACATATATTGCCAGCAACAAATGTGTTACCATCTTCAGGCCTCTCAAGAAGTAAGTGATGTTTTATCTTTTTTTGAAAATTTCTATTTAAGAGTTCTTTTTTGAAAAAAAAAGAAAAAAGAAAAAAATGAAATGTCATAATCAAAGGAGTTTATACTTAGTAAAGTTAACCCTCTGAAAGAATGAGTTATTATATTATTTGTTGTTTAGCCCTTTTTTTGTACTCACTTCTTATATACTTAACTGTGTAAGAAAAAACACATCAAGATCATAAATAAATCTCATATGAGTAATTATTTGGAATACTGTTTTAAAGTCCCGATCATTTCTTAAGTTAATGTTGGTGATTTTTATTAGCAGAAACATGGTCTAGTTGTTTTATACCATATAACAATCCTTTGCAAATAGTTACATATTATTTGGAGGTAAATATGTCTGCCCTCAGTATATATGCTTGCAATTATGTAGGTAAAAATGAGGTCTGGATACCAGTTAAATTTAGAATATTGTTGAAACTTAATTAAATTTAGAACCTTTAGGGGTCAGTGTTCCCTAAGAAAGGTTAAAAAAGGTTACTGTGCCTACCAAAATTAAATATTAAATCTGTTATATTTTAAATATTTTTTTTTACCATTTAAAGGTAAGAAAAATGAGAATTATATCTTGAAGAAGCTTTCAACCAAAACCTTTCAATTTAATGAGTTTGTTCAATATTGTTTTTAGGTTTATTATTTTGGGGGATCATCATATGTAATATATATTTTACACACAAAGTAGTTGTTTTTATTTATGTATTATCTAAATTTAGATACAGACTACATATTTTTAACTAATTTGTCTTTAAGCTTAGAAAATGAGCATGATTCTAAATCAGGAATCATTGTACTTATTTGAAATGAGGTAAAAAAACACTTCTAGAATTGCTATGTGAATAGAATTCCTGTATGTTTCAGTTTATTGGAGGCTAGTAAATATTTTTTTAAAATTTATCTTACTGAATTTAAGTAAAAAGCAGTTGTCCTCTTCTTTATTTTAGAATTGGACTAGCAAGTATTGTTTGTATCCATGATTCTTACAATTTTTCTATCACAAAAAAATTTTAAAATAAATGGAACTTAACAAAAGGTAACTTGCAAGTGGTTTGGTAGCTCTTATTGAGTCAGAATAATGTGTATTTGTGCATGGCATTTTGAGCCTGTGTGCCACTATCAACTACTTTTATTATTGATTCATTTATCTTTCTCTCTATTCACAAAGTACATATTCTTTTTTACCTTTGTCCATCTGCTATTCTGTAATTGAATTATAACTAAAACTATTGCATGATTTGCAAACAATATGTAGATGTAGGCACTGAAGAACCACTGTAGGAAAACATCACTGATACTTTTAAATGTTGGTGATCATTATGACTAAAATGTGATTGTAGAATCTCATATCAGTTTAATAAACTATTTTATGTTTAAGACAGAGAAGAAGGAAATGGAAAATTGCTTAGAGTGGACATTCATTTCTACCAGCAAGATAAGCTGGTAGAAAAAAAATATTTCCTAGATATTATGATTATATACTTCTTGAAATTAAAGGTTTTAAAAATGTCTGGATCACTAATAATTTTTTATTAAATTATAGGACTTAAATTTTATTTAATAATTGGCTTCCTAGTAAGTAATGGTATATTTTTTGTAAAGAAGTAATATAATTAGTGGTTTTAGATTATTGCCTATATTTTAAAGCAGACAGAAAATTGCATTGGAAAACAAATACATTTAATAATGTCAGTAAAATGTTATGGTGGAAAGAACACAGGCTTTGGAGCTAAACTTAAGTTGCAATTTTTAAATCTTTAACTTACTATCTACTTGGATTAGAGTACAAGTTTCATAAATCTTTGTAAGCCTAAATTTTCTTTTATATGAAATAGAGTAGTTATCTATTTAGGACTATTGTGAAGATTAATTAGGAATGCTATATGTAAAGTCCCTACTACAATGCCTGAAACAGGAAATGAATTTATTTAATCTGTATTTCACAAACCAGAATAATTATTTCCACCAATGTGATGGTGGTAGTGGTTATATAGATGCTTAAAACGAAAAAAAATAAAAAATAAAAAGGGAAAAGAAAAGATGGTTGTCGTATTTTACAGTACTTTTAAGTAAATCGTGGTGATTGTCTTTCTTATTCCTTTTAGCTGCGGAAGTTAGATCTACTGAGTTTTAAAAGTATTAAGAATCCTTACAAACAGTATTTTCAGTGGTTATAATAGTTTTATAAGAATTCAATTTTCTTCTAATACAATGTTCAGAATATCACTGGAACTTTAATTTTTCAAAGTGGTATGCTTATAGTTAGTATAATTGATAGAATATAATATGTAATTAATAACATTCATTTAGGATATAATCTATTTTTATCTGTATTGAAATTCCAGTTGCAATAAAAATCTCCAGGTTAGTGGCATCACAGAATAGTTTTATGTACCTTTTCCTTTTGGCAAATGTGGATTTAATATTGCATTTTGAACATTTTCCACATGCCATTGGGGGTTAAAAAAGAACATATCTGAGGTCTGATTAAATTTACTATTTATCTCCATAGGACCTGGCTTAATAGAGTACTAGTAGCTTCTCACACATGACCATCTAGAATATTTAAGAGAGTGGTTTTAGGAATACTGGCACCTGGCCAACAAGGATTGATTCATTTCCTGAGGAGATGCTCA